AAAACGGCGCGGCCGATCTTTACCAAAAACTAATCAGCATGATTCCCAACCAATATCTTTCAAACAGTTTTTGAATTTTCAAAATCGATTCAGAACTGCGGGCTAAAACGCGGACGAAAAAATTTTCATTTTTCTGCGATTCACAAAGAAAAGGCTCGGCCGATCATCGCACAAAACTGACAACAGTAGTCCTCATCGAGGTGCATCGAATGGCTTTTAAATTTTTTAAATCGGTCCAACAGTTTTTGAGAAAACGTCCATTTACGGCAAAAAATCTGTTCACGAACATGCACACACACACATACACACATATATACTTTTTCCAGATTTGGTCTCATTCGATTCAGAATGGCTTGAAACGTCGAGAAAACATAAAATTAGCGAATCGGATTTTTTGATGAGAACAAACTTCTCCTTCGGGCAGTTAATAAATACCACTTACTTCTGTATACTTCAAATATTTATTAAGTGGGCATATTTTGTACAAATATTTTGAATTTTTCAACAAGAATTAAAATTGTAATAACTATTAATTCAATTTTTACTATAATTGTTTTTTAACTTATTTTATTTACTATTTGCATATTTTTTACATAACCCGTGTAATTTTTAGGTCATCCTTTACCTCAACCGCACATGTAAGCTATTCTAGAAGTTATATAAGGAGAAATGTTGAAACTAACTTGAAAATAACAAAACATCTCATAAAATAATTAAGAATTAGGTTTATCTAGAAATTATATTAGGGTATCGCCAATCGCAAACAAAATGATATTGCTCAAAACAAAAGAAGACGAAAAAAACCTTATTTAAAAAATTGAGCATGGGTCGTTTATCTCTCGACAGCGACATTACCCGAATTATGATGATGACTAATTTCACATCTTTTACATTCATTTTTAATATAGTATAGTAATTAATATAGTATAATCCTATTTTACTTGTTTTTTTAGATAACTGTAGTGAATCTTTTTATCCGCGAATTTTAAGCTTCGCTTTGCCCTATAGGAAAAAAAAACATCAATATTTACTTGTGGTATTGGAGAAACTGGTTGACTGCCAGATCCAATGCTGGAGGTCCCCAAAGTGGCACAGCTGCCACTCTGTTGAGTTAAAGAAGGAACTGCTGGAGTGCTGGGTCGCCATTCTTTCTTCAAAGCACACAACTGTAATAAAATAATATTAAAAGCCATGCTGGCAAGAAAAGTTAAAAGACGTGGTTGGTAACGTTATCTGGGATGAAACTATAAAATTTTTATAATAACTTGTAAATGAGTTCTGATAAACGATTAAAGTTAAACGAGTTCATATAAGTAGGTAACTTTACCTCGGCTCTAAGTTTCTTAATTTCCGAAGCTAATTCTTCACAGTGTTGCGTATATTGCCATTTTGCAGTTTTCTCGCTTTCCACGACTTGGAGCAGATGCAAATGTTTCTGCTCCAATTCCTCTTTCTGGAGCAAAAGTTTGTTGAAACTGAAATAAATAAACGAACAGGTATAATTTTGATCAGTTAACAATTTGCATAATAAAATTTCTAGCATAATAATAAAACTGATTTGCAAAAACAAATAATCCATTTTTTTAAAGCACAGGCTAAGGACAAAAGTATAAAATTGCAAACCCTTGAAATCGTTAATTTTAAATGAAGTAAAAAGTATCTTATATTTAAACATACATGTTTATATGAATGGAGATACTAAATTATGTAACACATTTTTAACTTCCCATAGGGTAAGTTATTGTAATCATCCAAAAATTGGAATTGAAAATTTTTGCATGTCTTTATGTTTCAGAAGTTTCGGAACATTTTTGCATACCTTTGAAAAAATGGATGTATACGTGTGTGTGTGTGTGTTGGCAGGTCCAGCCAATGTGAAAAAAATGGCAGTTTTTGAGAAAACTAAGAATCCGATTTTGAATGATTCAAAATCTTACTGCTGGTAAGTTGACAAAACGATTGGAGAAAGAATTTTTTTTAGTTTCCAATTTTTTTTTTGAAGTAAAACTTCCTTAGGCGCATCTATAGTGTGAATCCGTACAAATGCAACGGAAGTGCATTATGTCAGATAAGATAAGATAAGAGTCAAGTGTCAAAGATTCGTCATTCGCTCTCGATGATATCATTTCTATACGGGTCGATTGTGATTAGTCGTCGCATATGTGAATAGAGATCTGTCGTTGTATGCGGACCGGCGTCAACGTTGTATGCGTACTGATATCAACAAGGAAATCGGCATAGATAAATAAACATTTCAAAGTTAGATCGTAGTACAAATGTTGATTTAATGAAAAATGCCTGAATCAGAAGAATATTTTGCCCTATCCCTCGTAAATAGTTATAATGAAAATAATAAAATGTAGCATTTGCGCCGTGTATGAAACATAAGTTTATTGAAATAATTTCTATATTATCCGTAGTTTCTATAAATCTTTTTCTTGAAAGTAATAAAACAAATTAAACATTTGTACTAAACTTAAGTTTATTAATTGGAAATTATTAACTTCCCGTAGGGCAAGTTATAGTAATCGCAAAAAACGGAAATAAAATTTTTTATATATCTTTGCATTTCATAAATATATAATTTATGAGTTATCATTATATAAATGTGTATAATCGTTGACACTAATAAATGTGTGCATCACAGGTGTTACCACATTACTAATAAACATTATTAAAAATTGTTATATGATGTATTTATTTTTACTTAACTTAAAATTGCTACTTTGTACAGTAGCAAATAAGTTTTCAATCGTGTGTGATCTTTACGCGCACTCTTTCTTTTTTTGAATATTGAAAATATTTTCGATTTTAATTTTAATTCTAGCTAAATTTCTAAAGCTCACTTGTATACTTCAAATACATAATTTCAACTTTGCAATTCAGTTTATATAATTCTTATAAATATTAGGCATTGACGTTCATTTTAAATCAGATTGATTAAATTTTGTTTATTTACTTTTCTGTAATAAATATATAAACGTCGCTATCGAATTCATATGCTTGTCTATAAAATAAGAATGATGAAAGTTACAGTATTTATTATAATCTATTTGATAACGTTTAATATTTCATTATTATTAATCTAATTAATTCCATTATATTCGAATATTTCATTAAGGTACGGAAAGTTCCAGCAATTTGCCTTAAAGCACGATGCCATACATCATTAGTTCTAAACTTTATTTCAAAATGTTTTTTTTAGCTTCTCGTAGGGTAAGTTATAGTAATCGCAAAAAAATCAAAAATGAAAATTTTTATTAATTTGTGCAACTAAGTGCAGTGAATGCAATATTATTTATTGTTATTTATATCATCGTCCTACATAAACTGTAAATTAATAAAAAAAACTTTCTAATAACAATATTTTAATTATAGTGATCAATACTTGATTTTTAATTGTGTTTTCTTCAAATATCAATACGCTTAATAAATTATTTACTGAATTTATTAATTAGTTTCAACCCATTTATTATATTCTATTCAACTCATACTTTCTATTGGTAGAATTATAACTTTTCGAATTATATTTCCATGAGAAAAATAATAATCGATTCGTGTAAAATAAAATATTTATTAAGTTTTTGTGTGCTTGATCAAAAACTTCAATAGAACACAAATTATATTACAATGTTTCAGGATAATTAATTCAATATAAACTAATTTGATAATTTCGTTTTCATTAGTATGAATATTGAATAAAGAACGAATAATGAACAAAGTTATGTGAAAGACATATTAATGAAATGGTAAAGTGACTTTGAAAAAATATATAAAATTCTTTTGTCATGATCGAAACGGTTTCACCGATTTTTATTAAATTATATATTCGGGATCAGTATTTAATTTAAACAATTGTTTTTCATAATCCTAAGTGGTAAGGGTTGGCTACCGTTGAGATTTGTTTAGTACTTGAAACATTATTTTTTATTTAATTTTTGATTTAAATCACGTAAGGTTTTCAGGGGAAGAGGGGGTTTGACAAAAAATCACGAAATATCACGTAGGGAAGGGAGGGGTATAGTAAGATATATCACGTGTAGGTATTTTTAAACCGATTTGTTTCTAAAAAAACAAACATTTTCCAAAAAGAAATGACAAAATGTCAAAATGTCAAAACAGTTTTATCACGTAACTAAAAATACACATAATATTTGGTAGGAGAGGGGGGGGGGTAATTTTAAATATCACCATGTATAACCAAGGGGGTGGAGGGATCCAAAAATCCGTAAAAACTCGCTCACGTGATTAATGGACGTCCACTCAGTTACTTATCTTTTGTACTGAAAATGTTCTAAAATCATTTTTATGGGTAAACAACGTTTTACTTTATTGAATCAATGTGATGCAGTTTAATTACTAGGTTGGCAAAAAATCTGCTTTTACTACTATCATGAATCTTGTTTTGGTAGATATTTCAATTCAATATAGCATAATCAAACTTATTGTTTATTGACATATAATGCAACTTCTGTTTGAAACACATATTTAATAGGCACATTTTTTATAAAGATCGCTCTGGATACAACCTCAATGTGAAACTATATCAAAAGAATTCATTATCATAGTTGGTATAATTATTCATTTAATTTATCTTTTGTAAAATTGTTTTTTTAACCTTATTTTACATTTTTATTTACTAGTTTCTTATTGTTTACATCTCGACAGTACGAAGATTTATGTGGTCCCTTCTATCCCGACCACAGGTAAGCTATAATGATATTCTTAAAACTAACTTAATGATAATAAACCTTAACAACTAAATAAAGTATACTTAAAAATTATTCTCTTTACAATTGGAATTATATTTTTCTTTTTGTAATTTTTATATACCTAATATATTACAAAATTGTATTCTTAGAATATCAACCCCTTGATCTGTGCATCTCTATATTACACAAATAATAATGATAAAACAAACTCACATACTAGTAATAAATTCAATAAATAAGTATATGGCGCTCTTATTCACCAATGTGCTGCATATTGTGATAAACAATAATGTTTTGCTACAAAACTGCTTATCTAGAACTTTATTCACAAATTGAAGTTTTTCTCACCTGGCATCTCTTATTGCAGATATCCAAGTGCAGCATTCCTGTTCACTTTGAGCCCTTAATTCGTATTGCCTTTGATTTTCCCTTCGATACGATATCGCAAAACAGTACTGCAAAATAATAGAACAAATCATTATTTGAAATATACTCTGTTTAACAAAATTTGTCAATAAAGATTTTATAAAAATGATGAATGATTTTTAATATACATAAACATTCTTTTCAATCACACGGGGGAATTTCGGATAAACTGGTATATATGGACAAAATGACATAGTGGCCTTATTTAAAAAATTGGCTAGTTTTATTAACGTTGCCTATCACATAAAAAAGCCATAATACTTTGCGGTCAGATGTTGAGCGTCATTGTCACGGTCTTGTCGCAATAATCAGTTCAAACGTGTATCGCATCTTAAAAAGTTTATTTAGGGGGTGGTGTTTTCTCATGATCTTTTGATGACGTAGTTATTAATATTTAAATTTATTTCAATTAAAATTAATTATTTTATATTATGCCAGACTTAATGATTATGATTAATTTTCTAACAATAATCAGGTGTTTGATGGTATTTTAATTAATCATTCATTTTGGTTAAATTTTGGATACTTTTATAATAGACAAAATTGATATAGTACTATTTTGCAAGTATTACAGAGCCAAGAAAAAAAATTAAAACCTGTCAAAGGTGACTGGCTTTCAACTCTAACTATGCATGCAATAATTGCTAAAAACAGACCAAAAGATAGAACGGTAAAAAGAAAAGATTTGCACTTGTTTATAATATAATAAGTATTAAAATATAATATCATAATTTGTTATAAATATAATGAATATATAATATGAATTTGAAATAAATATCGTTATTTATCAGTATCACAAGAAAGATACAATGCTATTTTTTTCGTAGAAAAAAATTTAAATCTATTGGTGCATGACATGATTTTTGAAAGCCTTAAAGCAAATTGCTAGAACTTATCATACAGTAATGAAATATTCGAGAAATTTTAATTGATTTTAGCCTAAATTATAATTGAAATCCTGACAATTGTAAATTTAAAGAAAATTAAAAGAAAAATTTAAATTTTAAATATTTTTTTTCTTTCCCCAAAAACTAGTCTTTTCTTCACATACAAGCAAAATTTTATTTCAATTAGATGGATCCGTTCTCTCAATAACTGTTATTTTTCACTTTTTGCTCCGTACCTCCGAAACGCCTGAAACTGCCTTTACAACAAACTGATCATCTTCCCGACGATACGAACCGAATAATTTTTGAATCATTTAAATTGGTTAATCCGTGTTCCCGAAACGTGGACAAAAAATTGTATCCACACATACAAACATAATTTTTTTCTAAAGTATTTAGAAACCCCCAAAACGTAAAGTTATGCAAAAATTGTCATTTTCGATTTTCGGACGATTATAATAACTTACCCTACGGGAATTTTGCAATTATTATAGTTTTAACATGAAAATACTCTACATCAGACAATTATTTACATATTAATTTTTATTATATAAATATCTACCTGAAGAACTTACAAAAAAGATGCGTTTCAAATGATTTCATAATTTGCTTAGTGTTAAATTATCTGTCAAAAAATTATATGGTAAGCTTATGATAAATTTATTGCAGATATTTTTACTTTACTATTATTTTTTTATTATATTTTATGTATTCACAATGGATAGACTTTTTCTGAAAAACCGCTGGATAATACAAATTGAATTATTTGATTTGTATATTTGTTTTTTAAAAATTTAACAAATACTAAAATACATACTTCTATTTTATATAGATATTAACATGAAGTATACAAAAATGATAAAATAGATAATTTTCTAATAAAGATATTAAAATTTGTTCTTGAATGCTTAAATGACAGACAATTTTAAATAATAAATTTGAAAATTAAATGAATTTTTAATCAAGCACATATATAAGTCTATACAGATCTGAAAATTATTAGGGCATTTGAAATAACAAAGCCAGCAAAATATTCATCAATAATTTTACATAGGATAAGTAATTAATAATTCATAACCCAAAAAAAAACAATTTTCGTCACACTGTAGAAAAATTATTCAATAAATGTACTCGCATTTCATAAATCCCTTTAATTTCGTTTGAATACGATATTCTATGAAGATAGTTGGAAGGTTTACGTTGTTCGTCCAAAATAGTAAGGTAGTTCTATTAATATTTCAGAAACTATGAATAATTTATTAAGGTTGGCTAATGACGACGCATTTCTGGAACATTTGGAATATACGAAACGTAACTCGAATCCGAAAATGATTCGGCACAAATAGTAAACTATACGATGATTTGGTGATATGATTGATATTCGATATCTATTCTACCAACGTGTAATTTAGCAAAAAATAACAGTCAAGGAGCAATAATAGAAAACTAGAAGTGAATTAAATATTGTCTAAAAATAAGTTGCACCAATTTTCCGATAGATGTATATACTCGACTAAATCATTAAAAATTGGTATTTAGACATTTTTAAAATTGTTACTAAAAATTATAATATCAATTACGAGAAAACGTCTCGAACGAAACTATAAAAAACTAATGATTCGCTACCAACAACTATAAAACAGATTTGAATTTTTGGCTAACACGCAAAAAAATATTTAGCACTTTTCTACTAATTACAAAGAAATGGCTCGACTGGAATCGTTAAGTAAAACTGAGTTTCAAATGTTTAAAATCGGTGCAGACCAAATATTATGGCTAATTGTTTTTGATCTGTTTAATCTTCACCGGAAAAGAACAAGAAATACATGTCGTAAAAGTACCCCGAAAATGTGTCACAACCCAATGCACACTTTTGAAACAAATCATCATTATGACTGAGCAGAACTATATAATCGTTAGCAAAAACTAATTTCTGATAAATAACTACCAATGTTCAACTTACATCAAAATAACAAAAAAAGTAATATATCTGTATACAATTAAGAGTTATGATCAAAAGAATTCGGACATGAAAACTTACTTTTGACTCTTTAAAAGCAATACGGTCAACAGATCATGTTAATGTAAGGCACTGACTAAAAGCAATAATGGGAACTTGTTCGATCAAACATACTTCATCTTTCTCCCTAAATGTTATGACGAATATCATTATCATACCGTGGCGCTACCGTATCCAAGAACTACATGGTGGCTCATTCGAAGCCAAAAAACAAAATTAAAACCTGTCAAAGGTGATAGGCTTCTTACTTATACTCCAAGTACCTTTAAAAGCACACCAAAAAAACTGCCGGTAGAAAGAATTGACTTGCATTTATTGCAAAAACCTCTTTTCCTCGTTTGAAGGATGGTTACGATATATGATTTGTTCCGTTTGGGTTTATGCTTCATGAGCTGATGTCTCAAGAGGGTCCAAAATATTTATTCATGAACTATCTTCTTAAAATTTAGCATCTCACATGTTCATTTAGTATCGTCAAAATGGTTTTTATAATCGGTTGCCTGCTTTCTTAAAAAATATGTTATAGTTCTTACTGAACTGAAAGAGTATGTTACTGGTAGTCAATGAACATTTGAGTAAAAACGATTCAGACTGTTTATAATATCATTAAAACATCATTAAAAAACAAGTTCCATGTAGTTTTGTCCGTACTTCCCCCTATTATATAATATATTTATTTTCAGACATGCGCAAGACCTCAGACACAACTTTCCGTCTTGCCCCGTCTCTCCGACAACCTTCTTTCCTCGCAAACATAAACCTTGTACTTCGGTATTACCCTAATAATATTTTGAACGACTGTCTCAGGTAATTTCGACAGCACTTAACGCAATATAAGTGACGGTTTCGGGGAGAGAAATATTAATATAAATGGGATAGAAGTTTTACAACTAGAGTTATACGAGGCTGTAAATGGTAAAATGCTTTATTACTATTAGAAGGTGGTTTAATTTACTAGAGAAACATAGACGGTTTCTAGGAGTTGGTTTAATTGACTGGAGACAGACGTGAGGCGTAATAGAAACTGTAATTGAGGATTTGAATAGAAATGAATCGATTATTGCGAGCCTTTTCCTCGTATTTAAGCATTAATATATATATATATATATATATATTATATATATATACACGTATATATATATATATACACGTATATCAGGGGTGGGCAAAAGCCGGCCCGCGGGCCGGATCCGGCCCTTTTTCTTATTTTATCCGGCCCGTTGAAAAATTCCGCACGCAATTTTTTTTACTCTTTTATGAGATTTTGTTGATATCAACATTATTAGTGTGCGTACTGTATATATAATAGGCGTAATAAAATGGTCTGTCGGCTGACTACACTAGTGTGGACGATGTCGCGAGCTTGAAACAATCCTCGCCCGATTATCATGCGGGTCGCTCGCGACGATCGCACTCAGGGTGGTTTTAAAGTTCTAAATCAAATTTAATATATCTTAATCAAACTCAACCAAGTCCTTATAAATCCTATCTAAAATCCTTATTTGCTCCTCATTTAAACTCGAGTGTTCATCAAAGAAAATTTCTCATATCGATGATCCTATATTCACCGAGTTCAAGAATTTTAATGATTTATACCTCGATTAATTTTAATGCTTTGAAAGAATTTTCCAAATTTAAACTCATTTATCGACTACTATTCTGTTTGGTAATGATAACTTTAGTCTCAAATATTTCATTTTGCTTTAATTTTTATATAACATATTCATATATTTGAATTTTCAAGATTTTATACCTTTTATATATCTAAAAAAAATTCCAATTTTAGAAATTTTTGTGATTGAGTCTTCATTAAATTTATTAAAATGTTATACGAACTAAAATCTTATCAAGGGCGGAGGTGTTATGTCATCTCTCGGAATCATCCCTTATTATAGAACAACATGTGGTAACACCAAAGGATTGGTAACACTGTGCTACCCCTTTGGCAACACTGTTTCCGCCACAGAGCTTTTCGAGCGACTACAGGTCGCACCACGCGTATTGTTAATTTTGATTTAGCACTGATCGCATACTCTTTTTTGTTCGAGTCTAATATTAGCTTGCAAACTGCAAAACAAAACATCCAAAATATGCATCACTTTCTTTAAAAGAACTTTAAACTGTAGCAGAAAACTTAGCAAAAAACTTGAATAAGCAACAAAATAGTTTTACTAAAAAAAGTAATATAGAGAAATCTACCAGAGAAGCAAGTTATGTTGTTGCACACAAAATTGCTAAGTTCTGTAATCCGTTTTCTGAAGCAGAATTTGTTAAACAATGCATGGTACAAGTGTCGGAGATATATTGTCCCGAAACGAAACATATTTTTGAAAATTTAAGCCTTTCGAGAAGAACAATAGTACGACGGATTGAAAATATTTCAGGAAACTTACAGCTAAGAACAAAAATTGCTGATTTCACCTATTGTTCTCTAGCTTTAGATGAGTCCTGCGATATTTCTGATACAAGTCAATTATTAATATTTATTCGCGGCATTAACAAGAAATGTGAAATTAGCGAGGAACTTCTTAGTGTGCATCCAATGAAAGGTACAACTACTGGTGAAGACTTCTTTCTCGCTGTTAAAGAGTGTTTAGTTAAAGTAAGTTTAACTTGGAATAAAATAGTAAGCGTCACTACGGATGGTTGTCCTAGTTTAACAGGTAAAAATGTAGGTTTACTTAATCGAATTTGCGACAAAGTAAAAGAGTTACAACCAGAACACGATATATTATTTTTGCACTGCATTATTCATCAAGAAGTGCTATGCAGAAAAGTTTTGAAATTGAATCACCTCGTTGTGACCAAAGTTGTGAATTTTATCCGAGGACGTGCCATAAATCATCGACAGTTTGTTGAATTTTTGAAAGAAATTGAAAGTGACTTCTACGAAATTCCTTATTACACTGAAGCGAGATTGGGATTGGTAAAGTTTTGGACAGATTTCAACATTTGCTTGATGAAATAATATCCTTCTTGTCGATAAAAGGAAAACTACATGATTTTCCTGAATTGCAAAATAAGGCTTGGCTAAACGATTTCTCGTTTTCAGTAGATATTGTAAAATATTTGAACGAACTAAATATAAATCTACAAGGGAAAAACCAATTAGCTTTCAATATGCACTCAAACGTCAAAGCACTTATGACAAAACTTAATTTATTTGCTGAAAACTTTAATAATAAATTATTAAATCATTTCCCCTCATTGCGAGCACGTCGAGAATCATTGAAAAATACAGATTTTTTAAAATATAATGCGATAACACAAGACCTGCATTCTGAATTCCAAAGAAGATTTCAAGATTTCAAAGCTGTTGAAAAACCTTTATCATTAATTAGCCAACCTTTCAATTTTGATGTGCAAGAAGCTCCTGTTGAAATTTAACTATCACTAATTGACTTACAATCAAATAATTTACTAAAAGAAAAATTTCACTCAAACGAATTGAGTGCTTTCTATGGCACTTTGAATAACAAACATTTCAAACATTTTTGAACTATGTTCAAAAACACCTTGTTTTATTTGGTTCGATATATAATATATTTGTGAAAGAACTTTCTTCTTTACTGGTTTTCACAAAAAATAAATATCGATCACAAATTACTGACGAAAATCTACACTCGGTATTAAGAATTGCTACAAGTGATTTGGAACCCAATTTTGAAGAAATAATATCAGATGAACATTCGAGATTTCACGTCTCGCATTAACTTTAAATATTTATTTCTACGTTTGATGTTTTTCTTTTCTTTTTTGAATTCTACTTACTATTATATTTATGAAATGCAATATAAATGTTAAATTGTAATAATTATGTGTCAATAAATTGAAATTATACTTATTAGTGTTTTTGTCAAAAAAAAAATTGCAGGGAAAAACTCCATCCAAAACATCCGCTTGTGAAAAGCATACGCGGTATAGTACTCCGGCCCGGGAGACATTTTGAAAATTTCATTTTGGCCCGCGCTTCAAAGTATTTGCCCACCCCTGACGTACATACTCGTATATGTATATATATATATATATATATATGTATATATATATATATATATATATATATATATATGTATATATTCTAGCCCTCAGAAAGCCTCAACATTGAGAATCAACTGCAGTTATTTTTCTAGATTTTCGCGTAATTCACTTATACAAACACATAGCATTTTATTATTTCATCAAGGACCTCCTTGAAAAAACTTCATTATTTCAACCTAAGAATTTTTGATCGAAATCTAGTCAATAAAATATAAAAACACTTCAATCTGTTTTGGGCCAAAGGTCTAAAAACATTTTGTTAAAATCAACATTTTTGGCTTCGATCATGGCGTCAAAAACATTGACAAAGACAAGACAAATTGAGTCATCGGCTATGGCTCAGAAAACATCTTTTAACATAATTGAGCTTCATTTCAAACTCAAACAAATCAACATGTAAATTATTTTTCAAAAATTAGTTATTTTTTCTGCTACTACCGACACATATCTGAATCTTTTGTGTAATTCTATGTAACTACATATATATATATATATATATATATATATATATATATATATATAAGTGCAAATAAATGTCACATTGTGTTTAATTATGACATAAATCCCTACAACCTGGAACCATAAAGCTTACAATTTTGTGACATTATATATATATATATATATATATATATATATATATACATAACATAAACGAATGATTTTTAAAACATATTTTAAAACTTACTTCTAAGAGACATTACTGAACTACAAGGCGTCTCCACCGTTTCTACAAAAGATACCCGGGCACGTTTTGATAACGAAAATAAACTTGTTAACTAAATTAACACTTTTCAACTTCAGAATCTAATTTTAGTATTATTCGTCGTATTTTTAAATTAGGTCACTGACAGGATATAGTAAAAATTATCATAATGGTATAAAACTGGATGGGTGAGAAATTTTCGTAAAATGTTTTATGGACACAAATAAAATATTACAAAATACTAAGAATTCTACATAATTTGGTAATATAATTGCATAAATCTATGCTATGTAATGCTATTAAAATAAGAAAGTAAAATAATTAAGTTTGTCTTTTATAGAACTAACAATCAAATTTATTTTTTTAATAATTGAACCTAACTTCTCGAATATTTTCAACTAAGTTGTATTTATCTTTGCATTTGTAAAAGGTATATTGTTAACATACGATGATTATTTGCATATGCTATTTATATTACATCATATTCCTTAACATTCTTGTATATTTTCTCTTTTTTTCCTGTCAACTGCTTTGCAGGACATGCGCGACGTTCTATTTTTGGATATTTGCTATGAAGAATAAGTATATATATATATATATATATATATATATATATATATATATGTATACTAACAAATTCAAAACTTTATAGAAAACTAGTGAGTTATTAAAACATATAACATTTTGATATTAATTTACGTATTTATTACTTTTGATTTATAGAGTAACTTTCTACAATTTTGCTAAAATACAAAATATAATTTAAAATAATTCAAATTTACTAAATTAACACTTTTTTGTCAAATTAAACCACCATAGTACAAATGCAAAAAACTACTATAGACCTTTTGTAATAAATTATGATTTATGATTATAAATATTCACTTCGATACAAAATAAAATACAGATAATAACATAATTTAATCACTTATCTATTTAAAATAAAGAACACAACATTCTATCCTGTATTTCATCTCTCTGACTTTTATATAGTCTAAAAAGAATGATCTAAAAGAAATAAGATGGCAAATATTTTGTTAATGCATATTTTATTAACTTCCCGTAGGGTAGTTATAGTAATGGGCCAAAAATCAAAAATGAAAATTTTTGCATTTCTCGACGTTTTGAAGCTTTCTGAACATTTTGGCATACCCCAGAAAAAATAGATGTGTGTGTATATGTTTTGTGTGTCAGCATTTTTTGTCCACGTTTTGGGGCGCACAGATCAACCGATTTGAATGGTTCAGAAATGGTCTAAAATAGAAATCGAGATTTTAAGAGAACGGAGCATCAGATTTGTCAATCTAAAAAACATTTAATTCGTAATGATAGGGAGAAGTGGTGATTAGTAGGTGATTAAAAAGGCAGGTCCAGCCGTTTCAAAGATACGGAGCCAAATGTGCCACAAATGGCAGTTTTTGAGAGAAGTAAGCATCCAATTTGAATGATTAAAAAAACTTTCTGCTTGTGTTGACGAAACAATTGCTTTTAGAAAAAAATAAATTTTTATTGTTTTTTTTTCAAACAATTTTTTTTTTGAATATCGAAAATAATTCAGATTTTATTTTTAATTCCTGCTAAATTTCTAAAGCTTATTTATATACTTTAAATAAATGATTTTAACTTTGCAATTCAGTTTATATTATTGTTATAAATATTGACAATGTTACAGTATTTATTTATAATAATCTAATTGAAAACATTTAATATTTTGTTACGATACGGGAAGTTCCAGAAATTTGCCTTACACCACTAGTTTCAGCATTCAATTGCTCAAAATTGCAAATGCACATACTAAATTAATAATTACATTTCAAAAAAGAATTCAATATGTATTTCAAATATTCCTTAAATTTCAAACTCCTATAAAACTAGATAAAAAAATAAATAAAACGCTTTACATTGAATTTTTTTTTTTTTTTTTTATTATTTCTGTTAATTTTAACAATCAGATTACAATACAATCTATAAGTTAAAAGTTATGGTATTGAAAATCAAAATCAAAAAGAAAAAAAAAATAGAATAAAGGAAATTAAAGAAAAGAAATAGAATAAATGAATGAATAAATAATAATTAAAATAATAGTATTAATAATAAAAACGATAATCCATAATAAATAATATTTAAAAATAACTTGTATGAAAATTTTCCTGTGCGAAACAGGGAAATTATGTTGTTGACGGTAGATCGCTGGGCCATTTTCTTTTCAGGCGTTTTAATTTTTCGGCTGTTTGTACTATTTACATTGAATTGAAAATAATATTGTATAATATTTTATTATACTAATTCCAAGTCAAAATTGTAAGAGCAGCGATTGTAATTGCATCAAAGAACGTGTGTTTGTAAATATGTTTTCAAACCGATTTTTTATAGAACAAATATGTAGTTTAGCAAATTGATATTTCAAAATCATTCAATTCTTATTAATTATTTGAAACATCTTTTAAAAACCGTTTTCTTTGAATTCTGAAATATTAAAAACTCAAATAAAGCAGCACACTTCATTTACTTCATCTACCTTATTACCTCATGTTAAAACTCTTGTGACATTTAAAACTTTGATTTGTCTTCTTTACATCTCCATAAATATAAATTCAACAAACCGAAAAGTTCGACCAACTATGCACTAGTACAATATACCACTAGTTCAAATCCAACATTTAACACACGTTTATGTGCTTTGACTAAATATATGCACGTTTAAAAGCTCGTATATAGTGAAGCTTAAAAGCTCCGGGGCTCAAAAGTTCAACAAGTGCCAACCATTCCCAACTGTTGCACGAGAGAAAGAGAGAGAAAGCGCGATAGAAAATGTATGCAACAGTCAATTCAATTCGGTTGATGGGTTCAAGTTTTGTTGCCGGAGAAAACTTTACAAGGACAAAAATAAATGAGATGGTGCATTTGTAAATGATCTTTATTTGTGGTATCGTTGCTGGTTTGAAAGTTCATGTAATACGTCGCAAATAATTGAAAAAAATTGTTTCTAGAGATTGTGACTTAAGAGATTAAGAGTTACTTTACCAGTCAATTGTGGTTGACAAATACACTTATCATGGAGAAGTGGCAGAATTTTGTGTATTGATGAGTCTATTCGTCATACATATGAAACAGTGATCATTTGCTATACAAATTGAAATTTTCAAACAACAAAAGAACTAGTGGTGTACGGCATCGTGCCTTATAGCAAATCGCTGGAACCTACCGTACCGTAACGAAATATTCGA